CTATTAAAATTACACGGAAAAATCTTGAATCCAATTTGTATCCTTTTTAAATTATCATTTTGGTTTCTTCTTTCATTTGGTTACCAATTATTGCCAATCAGGACAATATATATTTTACAATATATAGACATAGGCAGACATTAAAAAAAAGATGTATGTGGAACAATCAAAATTAAATTTGAGCTGTCATTATAAAAAAAATTTTTTAATATGATTTTTGATGATGATGATGATGATGATATATCTATAATATGAAGGGCGACATTTAATATTATTATTATTATTAATGTTTGGCGTCAAACCAAACTAAACTAAACTAAAAAAAAAAAATATAATCCGAAAATCATAATGATGAGTATATCAGTTGTATGTGTTGTATGTGCGTTTGGTTGTTTGGTTGTTGTTGTTGTTGTTGGGGATGTTGATCGGTAAAAAATGTCTTTACCAATAACCATCATTATCATTATCTATTACACACTCGACAGGCAAAAGAAACCAAAAAAAAATTTTTTGTTAATCATCTTTAATTGAACAGTCGATTTTTTTTCTTCTCAAATTACATTCTTTTATTTCCATTTTGGTTGATTTTTTGTTTCTAATTAACATTCTTTTTTTCTCCAATCTTTTTTTCTTTCCATAGATTCAATACATTCCACATTTTCTACGATTTTCAAAATTCCCGAAATAAATTTTCCATTTTTTTGTTTGTTTGAAAATCAATAAATAAAAATCAGCAAAAATGCCACGAGCAATTAATGTACGTGTTACAACAATGGATGCAGAGTTGGAATTTGCAATCCAACCAAGTACAACCGGTAAACAATTATTTGATCAAGTAGTAAAAACTATTGGTCTACGTGAAATATGGTTTTTCGGTTTACAATATACTGATTCAAAAACCTATACAACATGGCTTAAATTGAATAAAAAAGTTATGTCACAAGATGTTAAAAAAGATAATCCATTACAATTTAAATTTCGTGCCAAATTTTTTCCTGAAGATGTACAAGATGAAATTATTCAGGATATAACATTGGTAAGTTTTGTTTGTTTGTTTTGTTTTGTTCATTTGATGATTTGTTTGATTAAAATTTTTTTTTCTTTTAAAAAATAGCGTTTGTTTTATTTGCAAGTAAAAAATGCAATATTAAGCGATGAAATTTATTGTCCACCTGAAACTTGTGTTTTATTGGCATCATATGCTGTACAAGCAAAATATGGTGATTATAATCCTGATGTACATCAGGATAGTTGTCTACAGAATGATCGTTTATTGCCACAACGTGTTGCTGATCAACATAAATTGACAAGAGAAGAATGGGAAAAACGTATTACTGAATGGTGGCAAGAACATGGTGGTATGGCACGTGAAGATGCTATGATGGAATATTTAAAGATTGCTCAAGATTTAGAAATGTATGGTGTTAATTATTTTGAGATTAAAAACAAAAAAGGAACAGAATTATGGTTAGGTGTTGATGCACTTGGTTTGAATATCTATGAAAAAGATAATAAATTAACACCTAAAATTGGTTTCCCGTGGAGTGAAATTCGTAATATTTCATTTAATGATAAACGTTTTGTTATTAAACCGATTGATAAAAAATCACCGGATTTTGTATTCATTGCACCACGATTGCGTATTAACAAACGTATATTGGCATTATGTATGGGTAATCATGAATTGTATATGCGACGACGAAAACCGGATACAATCGAAGTACAACAAATGAAAGCACAAGCACGTGAAGAAAAATCGGTTAAAAAACAAGAACGTGAAAAATTGATTAAAGAAATGAAAGCAAGAGAAATGGCTGAAAAGAAACAACAAGAATATGAAGATCGTATTCGTCAAATGCAAGAAGAAATTGAACGTCGTGAACGTAATCTATCGGAAGCACAGGAAACTATACGACAATTAGAAGAACAATTACGTCGTGTACAATTGGCCAAAGAAGATATGGAATTACGATCAAAAGAATTGGAAGAATTGTATGCAAAATTAGCCGAAAGCAAACAAATGGAACAAGCTGAACGTGAAAAATTGGAAGAAGAAGTACGAGCTAAACAAGCTGAATATGAACGTGTTCAAGAAGAAGTACGCGCAAAGGAAGAGGAAACAAAACGTTTACAGAATGAAGTTGAAGAAGCACGTAAACGACAAGAACAATCAAAAGCAAATCTTGCAGCAGTAACTGAAACGCCACAAAATCATCATGTTGTTGAAAATGATCATGAAGAAAATGATGATGAATTGACTAATGGTGATGGTAAGTAAAAAATCGATTACATTTTGTATCAATTTTTTTTAAATAATAATGAATTTTCAAATCAAAATAGTTGAAGTTCATTTCAATGGTGATGCTGATAGTGCTATCGATGTGCCACGACCAGAAGAAGATCGAACAACTGCAGTATCAAAAAAGAAAGATTTACAAGAACAACTTAAGGTTTGTTTCATTTTTGACAACAAAAAAATATTGATTTTAATTTTGTTTTCTAATTTTTCTTCCCAAAACCAAACCAAAAGCAATTGAGCAAAGATCTTGCATTGAACAAAGATGATACAAAAGTAACGGCCAATGATAGGTTGCATCAGGAAAATGTTAAAATGGGACGTGATAAATATAAAACATTACGTGAAATTCGTAAAGGAAATACAATGCGTCGTGTTGATTATTTTGAAAATATGTAATAATCTGAATGTCCTGATCCAAAATCCAATCGTTACAAATCCAATCCAATCAAATGAATTGTTATTGAATTTTATAAAAATTGCAAAATTATAATCAGAACAACAACAACAACAATAATAATAATAATGATTTTTCATTTCAGATTTTTTTTTCTTTTCATAATTTTTAAAAATTACTCTATTTGTCCATTTTAATTATTATAATTCTAATTATTATTTGATTATTAATAAGCAATTACAAACATTACATTACATTACAAAAATTTAAACTAATTTTGATACATACACAACAACAACAACAACAAACGATTGGGAACAACAACAACAAATTCTGAATGTCTCTGATGATTTAACACCATACACACCACCAGCACAAACACCACATCAAGAATATAAACAGACTTATAAATGTTTGATTTTTCAAGAATTTTTTTTTCTCCTCTTCTACTACTACTACTTTTTCTTCCTTCTCATTTAATTGATTGCTTTATTTGATTGATTGATTACCTATATTCCATTTTTAATTATTATTAATTATTATTATTATTATTATTATTATTATTATTGAAAATTATTATTATTTAAAAAAAAGATGAAAAAAATAAGAAATTACACACACACACACACGACTGTCAAAAAAAAACAAATGTTTGTTACTTTATTATTTTTGTAGAAAAAAAAAACAATAATACTTTGAATACTTTTCCCATATTTATTTATTTTCATTGATTCGTAATTTGAATTTTTTGGTAAAAATCATCGCCACTAGATGGTAGCACGTTGTTCAATTTTATTTGAAGAGAATGAAAAAACACTGTTTTTTGTTACCAATTTCAATTATCAAAAAATCAATTAAACATTTTTAGATAACTTGTTGCATTCAAATATTAGCAAGTAGTGAAATTTATTTATGAATCATTTATGATCTCGAAAAAACCAACCAAACAAACAAACATCGAAACAAAAAAGTGTGAATAAGAGAATACAAGAGTAAAAAAAGAGTTTCCATTTCTCTGTGAGATTAATTCCATTTTGAAAAAACTACATTAATATTTTCATTTTTGCATTTTAGAGGTGGATTATAATAACAATATAGAATTGTATTTCAATTAAGAAAAAAAATTCAAAATTCAAAATTACAAATATATCAAGAACAGTGAAATAGAATTAGAAAAATGATTGATGTGTGTTTGTTTGTGTTTGTGTAAATCAAAAGAAAGAATAATCACACAGTTTTTTATATGCAAGAAAAAAAAATGATAAGAATATTCAAAAATTGGTAGTGCATTTGTTGGTGCAGCGAGGTATATATTTTATTCAAAAAATTTCTCAATTACGACATTCAACCTGATGAGGAACCATTGATGATTGAATCGATTTTGATGTTGGTGTTGTTGATGATGATGTTACTGTTGTTGATGTAGCCGAATCCAATGATGGTGGTTCATTATTTTTCATTGATTTTCGATTATTATTATTTGATTTTCGTTGTTGTTGTTGTTGTTGTTGATGTCCATTGGTTATGATTGTTTTTGTTGATGATGTTGTTGATGATGATTCAATTTCGACATCATCTTCATCATCATCGGCATTATCTTCTTCTTCTTCTTCTTCAATAACATCATCATCTTCATCATCAATTTCATCGATAATATCATCATCATCAACATCCGATATTGATTCATCAATACAATATGCTTGATGATGGTGATGATGATGATGATGATGGTGATGATGATGATCATAACGTGCATCATTACTATTACCACTATGATGTTGATGATGATTATTATTCGATTCTGGTGGTTCATCAGCAATTTTCGGTGATAATTGTTTTGGATGTGATGATGAATGTTGTTGTTGTTGTTGTTGTTTTGTTGTTGAAGATGTTATTGATGATGATTCTGTTGATGTTATTACTGTTTGTAATGAAGATGATGATGAATGTTGATCTTGTTGTTGTTGTTGTTGATTACCATTATTTGTATTACTACTTGTACTACTACAATTAGTATTATTATCAATTTCAGTTTCCGATGATGATGATGATGATGATGATGATGATGATGAACAATATGATGATATTGATGGTGGTGATTTAGATTGTTCATTATTATCAATTGTAGCAGCGAAATGTAATTCACCATGTTGTTCAATATGCAAATTATCATCATTATCATTGTCAAGAATTTTTTCTTCACAAATTATACATTGAATTTTGGATTTAACCCCTTCATCATCTTGATTATCTCGATTATGACTTTGTTGATGTTGTATAAATTCTTTTAATGATGTAAGAATTTTATTACATAACATACATTGTTGCTGTTTTGTAGCCAATATTTCCATGTTTAAATGTTTTTCATTACGATGTTCAATCAATTGATTAGCCATTATAAGCTGATTGCACTTGATAAATGTTTTTGTTTTATCATCATCATTATCATCATCAACAACATTATTATCAACAGAATTTTCGCTTGGTATTGGTGTTGTTGTTTCTAATTTCAAATTCACCATATCCAAACATTTCATTTGAACGGTACCAATCGATAATGAAACATTGTTTGCTTTTTGTTGTTGTGAATGATGTAACGATAATGATGATGATGATGGTGGTGGTGGTAACGATTGATGATGATGATGATTATCTTTTTTAATTAAATTATCGATACCGAAATTTGATAAACGTTTATTGCCTGCATTTGTTGTTTTTGATGGTGGTGGTGATTGTTTAATCGATTTAGTTATCGATGAATCGATAATTGACGATTCATCATTGTTGTTGTTGTTGGATATTATCGATGAATTATTCGATGTTGGTGATGATGATGATTTTACAATCGATTTTGAATGTTCATTTACGGAAATTGTTGCCATATTTGTGAATTGTTGTGGTGTGGTAGTAGCTATTGTAACTGGTGTAGACATTGATGATGATGATGACGATGACGACGACGATGATGAAGATGAAGAGGATGAGGATGAAGAAGCAGATGCCGAAAGCGATGATGATGATGACGAAGGTGTTAACGGTTGCTGTTGTTTGGTACCTTTGTTATTAACAAAAATTTCATCAAGTTTTTGCATCAAATTCATTGTATTATGTTTAGATTTAACATGTTTAGAAAACGATTCTTCCAAATCAAAATCATCATCACATATGATACAAATTAATTGTAAATCTTTTGTATAATGTTGATATGTTTGAAAATGTTCTTGTATTGATTGTTTTGTATCAAATGTTTGTTGACATAATTGACATTGATATAATCGTATTGAATGTTTTTCCATTAAATGTTCATCAAGATCTTTTTTCCTTTCGAAACGTTGATTTTTACATTGATCACAGACAAATTTAAATTCTTTTTTACAAACATGTGTTATAATATGATCACGAAATTTATCCATATTATCAAATGATGCGGATGATGATTGTTCCGTACAATATGGACAACGAAATTTTTCCATATCAATCATTGATGCAGCAGCAGCTGCAGCAGCCGCTGCTGCTGCTGCAGCTCTTTCATGTGCTAAATTATCTAACATTGCTTGACATAAAGAATTTGCCTGTTGATGATATGATGATGGATGATTTGCTGCTGATGCTGCAGCAGCCGCAAATGTTGATGACCATGGAAATGTTGAATTAGGATTCTGTTGTTGATATGTTTTCAATAAATGTTGATATGATTGTTGTGATATTGCTGCAGCACCATTTGAATATGCAGCTAAATCATATAATGAATAGAATGGAAATTTTGATAAAAAATTACCATATTGATTTGGTTGTTGATTCAATGCAGATGATGATGCGGATGATGAAAATAATCCAGATGATTGTTGTGCAAAATTTGCCATACGTAATGATTGCCATAAAAATGGATTATAATCAACATCGGTGTTAGTAGGATTGTGTCGACCATTTTCAGGTGATAATAAACCTGCTGCTGCTGAAGCAAATTCCGAATTATTTTGAGAACCAGGAATGTATAATGGTACATTTCCATTCGGAATATGATGTGAATGATGATGATGATTGAATAATGTTTGATCATGTGAATGTTGTTGTTGATGATGATGATTTGGTCCATTATTCGGTGATAATGATGATTCTTTTTTCATTAAAATATTATTATTATTATTATTATTCATCGATGATGATGATGATGATGGTGATGATGATGTTGATGATGACGATGACCATGATCCATGATGATGATGATGATGTTGTTTTAATTTTTTATTTGTATTATCTTTACTAAATTGTTGTTGTTGTTGTTGTGATTGATGAATATCATTCATTGATGAACGTTTCAATGATTGTTGTTGTTGATGTTGTTGATGATGATGATTATGATGTTGTGAATATCGAAATTGATTTTGATTTAAATCGATTGATTGATCGATTGATGATCCATTTCCGATTCCCAATCCATTACCAATATGACCACCATTTGTAATGATAGCCGATGATGTTGTTGTTTTACCATTATTATTATTAATTGATTTTAATGGCATTATATATGTTGGTCGTATTGATGGTTTATTATTATTGTTTGGCTGACCACCATGATGTTCTGTAACTGCTGCTGCTGATGATGATGATGATGATGTTGTTGATACATTGCGTTTATGATTCTGCATATGACTAGATAATGCTATTGTGATGAAATATTTTGGAGAGACAGACAGACAGAAACAGAGAGAGAGAGAGAGTGATTGAGAATTTGATTTGATCCGATAAAGATTTGTAAACAAAAAAAAAATTATCGATTAAAAAAACATACCGGCTGCTGTATTATAACCACGATTACAAAATGAACATTGAAATGGTTTCATATGATCATGTGTTTTCATATGTATTTTTAAATGATCACTACGTGAAAATGCTGATTCACATTGACTACATTGAAAACGTTTATCGCCCGTATGTAATTTAACATGACGATCACGGCTACGTTTATGTTTAAAAAAACGATGACAATATTCACATTGAAATGGTGTTTCTTCCATCTAATTAATTATAATAATAATAATACAGGTAAAAAAAACAAAAAAAAAAATTAATTAATCAAACAAAAATTAATTAGTTAATTATAATTATAATTCAAATTACAAAATAATGCTGGTACCTTTATAGAATAATTGTTTTATAATTAATTATTTAAAGAACTAAATTTATTTTTATTTTAATTTATAAAAATGATCAAATGTAATTCAATTATTACAAAATGTGTGAAATAAGAAAGACAATTCAAAAATCATCAAATGAAGAATAAAGAACCCCGATGTATTGAATGATGATCAAATCCTGAATGAACTAAAAGAAAATAAAAGAAAAAAAGTCTTTTTCTTCTCTATTCCGAATTATGATCATCATCATCATCATTACTTGATTGAATTACCGATCCTGAAAGTCCGATCGGCTACAACAAGCAAATAACAAAAAAAAAGGAAAAAACCCGAAAAAAAATTAGATAAGATTAGAACCAAGAATCAGAAACAAAAAGAAAGAAAAAGAAAGAAAGATATTGGCTGAAACAAAATATTTGAATCACAAATCATATTTAAACGATCATTCAATTAAATTCAATTCAATCATTTTAGACAATCAAAAACTTGGTCATCATCATAAATAAAATAAAGGAAGAAGAAGAAGGAAATTTGGTCAGATTCTAACCAAAGATATAAGAGATTCTTTCAATTGATACAATATAACCAAACAGAAGAAGAAGAAGAAGAAAAAGAAAAACACCAACGCCGATCTTAAACAACAACGAACAAACAAACAAACAAGAAAAACGTAACAATCTTTTTTTGTTTTTGTTTCGATTATCATTAAGATTGCCACAAAAAAACAAAAAGAGAATGAGGATCCAAGGTTTTCACATTCAATTTTTTTTTTTTTTTTGGATTCATTGAGCATTCATTTGTGTTCAACACACTGGGCACAACAACAACCATTGATTTTTTTCTGATTAAAATTTGCGATATTTTTTGTTTGGTTTAATTTTTTTTTCTGGTAAAGATTTTTTCACCAGATTTGTTTCACACTATCTCTCAAGCTTAGCTGCTATGTATTTTTTTCTTTTCTTTTCTTTTCTTTTAACGGGAGAGTGGTGTGGAGGGGGAAAAATGAAGATAAAATGTTGGCCTGGTAAAAAATTTGTTTATCCAATTTTCTTCAATTCTTTTCACCTTTTTTTTGCTACCAATGTTTTGTTTTTTGTGTAAATATTTGTCATTGAGGAGAGAGAGAGAGAGAGAGAGAAAGAGAGAAATTTCTACAACAACAATCTGAATTTGACCGTTGTCCTCTTTAAATAATAATAATAATAATAATAATAATTCTTCGTAATCAAATCTTCCAAATTAACTAACGAAAGAAGTAGAAAAAAAAATCCAACTATTTTAACACAAATGATGATAAATAATATATCGGTATATATTTGGTTGATCTCACAATCTCAGTGTAACTAGTGTGTGTTTTTCGATTGATTTTATATAATGATATGATTGCGGGTATAAATGTTGATTGCTTATCTTTATCTTTTTTTTTGTGTGGCCAAAATGAAATGGATTCTAGATCTGATCTGATCTGATCTGGTTGTTGTTGTTGTTGGAATCGAATAATTTAGAAATGAAAAAAATATAAAGCAATCTGATTGATATCATATGTGGTTGTTGTGTAAAATAAAACAAAACAAAACAAAACGACCATAATAATAATAATGATAAGATAATCGTTGTCAATTGAACAAAGCGAACAACAAAAAGCGAAAGAAAAAATGTGTGACTTTTTTTTCAACACTTAGATTATCAACAATGATGATCATCAACAAAAGAAGAAAAAAAAGATACTTTAAGGGCTAATCTTATTTCATTTTTCTGTTTTGTTTGTTTCCACCTTAGAAAAACTTACATTAATTAAACCGATCGATGATGATGATGATCCACTTGTATTCGGTGATGATGAAATTGTATTATTTATTGTTGCTGGTGTTGTTGATGCGGCTGCTGCTGCAGCTGCTGCTATTGCGGCAGCTACTGCTGATGATGATGATGCGGTAATATGATGATTAGGATGAGAATGATGCGGATTTGAATTCATTTGTGTTTTTTCTATTTTCTATTTTATTACAAATTATAGCGAATCACATTGAATGAATGGACATACACACACAGAGAGAGATCGATTTAGTAATCGATCGACTGATTGATGTTTCACCCGAAATAAAAAATGAAAAATTCAAAAGAAAATTTTTAAATAAAGTCAACAAAAACGAAACATGAAACAAAATCAATCAAGACATCAGTTCAGGTCGATGTCCAAACACTGAATAATCATTTTTTCAAAAAAAAATGTTTATGCTGATTAGTGGTAGTGCTGTTGTTGTTTTTTTCTGTTTTTCTGTTCTGTTTTATGTACATTTTAGAAACGTGCACCACACAGTAAGAGTGACAGGGTGAGAGAATGATGAAAGCAAGCAAAGCAAGAAACTTGACTACCACCAAAGAAAAAAAACTATCACCAAATTCGATTTTTTTTTGAGGGTCAACGATAAAGAAAAAAGAGCACCAAAAAAATACACACACGAAAGGGCCTCACACAAACTTTATAATAATTCAAAGTAAACCAAGTCACAAAAAAAAAAATCGAAATATTGATTGGTTTTGATTGTAGTGGTGGTCGATACTTGTCGCTTACATTTTGTTTGGACCTTTGGTCTTCTTGGTGGTGGTCGAAGATTAATTTCTCTGTTTCTGCACAGCATAGAGTGAAAATAAAGCTGTCAAATTTTCAAATTCTTCAAACAACAACAAATATTTGACATTTGCCCTCTTTGTATCGAATAATAATAATGACAGACGAACAAGGATGATGAGATAATTTTTCTTATTTAGATTTCGATACAAGCAAAGGAAACATACCCGAATTATTTAGCAAAAGGTTAACCTGTTGAACATTTGCTGAAATTCTGTTTTTTAACAACAGAATTTTTCGTTACACAGGAATTCGGTGTGAAAATAAAGTTGCACAAGCAAAACTGATAATCAATGATTGAAAGATGATCAAGATGAAACAAACAGACAAACAGAAAAAAAAATCGACCGTATAGTATTAATGTTTAAATAAAAGTGGCGCCCGATTTTTTTGTTGTTGTTGTTGTTTTTTGAATAATATTATTACAGTTTACAGATTTTTATCTTTGTTAATAATGTTTTTTGAATCTTTTTCTCTCTCTACTCATATAGACAGCCAAAAACAGACAGACAGATAGATGATACTGTCATATATCGGTATCTTGTGAAGAATGAAAATTTGTTTGTTTGTTTGCTTGTTTGATGTTCACATCCACACCACTCTTGTCGTCATCTTTTTTTTTGAATTTATTAATCGCCATCAACATAGTCATCGTTGATTATGATGTTGTTGATGATGATGATGGGCCCACCATCATCGATTGCCACTGAAAGGAATTTCTTTTCTCTCTCTCTCTCTCTCTTACTCTGTATATTCTCCCTTTTCGAAATATACCTGCATTTATTTTTTATGTTATTTTATATTTTTCCTATTTGGTGCTAGTTTTGTTCATAGTGGTAATGGTGATGATGCTGGTGGTTTTATTTTTTTTTGATTTTGCCTTTCGAGGATGTTTCGAAGAGTTTTTTATATTTCTCCCTTTTTTGGCGGTGGTGGTGGTGGTGGTGATCATGGTGATGATGTTCTCTCTTATATGTTCTCTTATTACTTTGGTGAAGAGATTCTAGTAAGATTTTTTTTGTTTTGTTTCTTACAAACTTTGAATGAATAGGCAAATAGGGAATTGGATACATTCTTGTTTTTTTTTGGATGTTTTTCCATAGTAAAATCATTGTATTCAATCGATACAAATTTTTTATTTTTTACTTCGATCAATTACAAAATACAAAGAGAGAGAGAGAGAGAGAGAGAAAGAATCAAATTACATAATAGTAGGCGGTAACAACCACTATACACATATATATTATGTAGAAAAAAAATGGGCGTCTACAAAATTGTGAATAGATAGTTGGAAAATGGGCGGAGTTTCCCGAATGATGATGATGTCTCTTCTTTCTTTTTTCTCCCTGATTGCTCAGCAAGTTTATTATGTGTTTTTTTACAGTTTTGGCCAACATTATTTGAATGAATAAGAACGCGCCCATATTGGTAAGCGCATCGTTGCGCAAGTTTTTTTCTTTTTTGATCTATTCTTTGGCGAATAGTAAAAGGCGCCGCCATTTTAGATTCTTTACCTGATCATTTTTTTTTGTTTGGTTTTTGGTTTGGCGAATGATATACACCTACAATAGGTTTGAACAAACTAACTTGAATCAAAAAAGAGAGAGAAAAAATCAAAAACGTGAGAGTCTGTTTTGAACCAGAAACAAAAAAAAACTTGCTGAATTGCTGAATATACACTGTACTCACCACCAAAGGTGCATCACAAATCATCATCAGGGATTGAATATCGATTGATACGAAGCAGCATTTCACCAAAACAACAACAACAACAAAAAAAGAAACAATGAAAAGAAAACGAAGGAATGAACGAACGAAAAATCTTAACATCTCAATCAACAAGGCACTGTTGTTGTTGTTGTTGAGGTGCACGATTCTTTTCTTTTCTTCTTTTGGTCAAAATTGAATTGGTGAATTTTTTTTTCTCTTTTCTTTTCTTCTCAAATCCTACATTTTTTTTTACCTTTTAAAAAAAAAAAAATTTCATTTTACAGGTGAAAACAAAAAACAGGTAACATCCTACGAATAATTTGTATGATGGTCATTATTAAAGTCAAGAAAAGAAAAAAAAACATCCATAAGTTACACACAAACATTCCATTAGATGATGGACAAACACAAACATTCACAAACATCGTGATGATGATGATGATAATCAACAATCAAACAAACAACCAGGATATCTTGTGACCACACAAGATGTTACCAATCAAAAAAAAAATTCATTCTGTTGTCGTTTTTTTTCTTGACTGATATGATTCGATTGATTTTTGCTCAACTTGAAAACAACAAAAAACAACAAAAATCAAAAATCAAGATCAATATCGGTCAAAGAACCTATAAAATTTCCGGTCAATTTTGTTTTTTCAAATATCGCGCCCTTTTTTTCTTCATTTAGTTCTCTCTCTCAATATATGAATTCTCTAATTATCATCATCATTATGATGATGATGATGGTAACGATAATTATCGCATATTCACTTACATACAGGCAGTCAGAGATACCTAATATGGTACGAACGGAAAGTTGTTTTTTGTTTCACACACAAAAATTCAAATTCATTTTACCGAATAGAAAAAAAAACGAAGAAAGAAGAAAAAAGATATAGAATTTTAGTGGAAATTAATAAAAAAAAGTATGGACAGGTAAAAAAAAAATTCGGGTGCGAATCACGAACATCATTATCATATCATCATCATCAACAACCAAGGTAAAAAAGGAAAATGAAATTAATTTTCGTAAAAAAAATGATGATGGCCACCAACCAAACACCAACACCTGACTTTGGCTTTATGACTTTATTACACTTTTTTTTCAACTGCATAAACTTTTTGTTGAACAGGTGAACGGAAATTTCATCAATCCATATTATCATCAATGGATAAAGAAATTTACCTGTTATTAGAATTATGGACAAAGCACACAGGTACATATGGATCAAAACCTTAAGGCAATGTTTTCTGTTGTTGTTCGCAAAAAAGAATTAATTAATTAATTATTTAATTAATTAAGGTGAATTTTTCTGTTGTTGTTGTTGTTGATGTTTGAAAAATGAAAACATCAAAATTTTGTTTTTTAACAGAGATTTTAATTAGCTTCAAACAACAACAACAACAACAACAGCAAAAAGATAATGCTGGATAAGGAAATGATGATGGCTGGCTGGCCATATTTGATTCAATGGAATTTCTCTGTGTTTTGATATGCAAGGTGCAGCCAAATTTTTGACTGAAATTTTTGAAATTTTCATATTTTGTTTTTTTTTCGATTCCAACTTTAAACAAATAATCAAAAATTAGTGAATCCTATCTACACACATTTTTGTCCAATTTATCTTGACCAATAACACCAATCCTTTTTTTCAATTTTTTCTCTGATCTAAGTATAACAATGATGATGATGACCTCTTGAAGTAAAATCTTCATTTTGTCCAGTCCAGTGATTCGACTTGGATTCAAGTATGTCGAACATGATGAATGAATGGAGCCCACCAAAGTTGATCAAAACAGCAAAAGCGAGAGAAACGTAAAGAGAGATATTAAGCCATCAACAAAAAACAAAACGAACAAAAAACATGATGCAAAATACAAACATCAAATTTTTTTTGTAAATCGAAAAAAAAAATTTGCATTCAATTTGTTCGTTTATTTAAAATCCTTTACCTGCTTAAATCAATTCTATATAGACACTGGCGTTATATAAGTTTATTTGATTCATTCTGAAAAAACAACAAGAAAAAAATTTCTCTCAACTCGTCACTACGATTATTTTTACTACTGATCTTCTGATCTTTGATCTATGATGATGATATCGGATTTTTTTTTTTGAAAAAGAAAAAAACTGACCGATGTTGTTGTTGTTTTTGCGAATTCAAATGAATTCAAATTTTGCCATAGAAAATCAAAAGAGTAAATATTGTTTAAAAAGTGTCAGGATTGATTATTTGAAACAGTATTTGTTTGCTGTTGTTGTTGTTGTTGTTTGAATTTGATATTAACATATAACAACAACAAGTTGTTCAACAACAACAACAACATAGTTGTAAAATAGGAACAAAAAACTTGACTTTTTTTCCGTTTTGATTCAAAAAAAAAAAAAATTGAATAAAATGAAAAAATTTCAGGTGCGGCATGTTCCATCAATAAACACAACACACACACACACACAACACAAAAATCATAATCGGAAAGACACACACACCACATAACAGGTGTAATTAAAGCAAGCAAGCAATGAAATGAACATCATTTGCATCATCATCTTTGATCATTATTGAGCTTAGAAGAAATTTAAAAGAAAAAAAAATTAATTCAATCTGAATCTCAATAATAATGGTGGTGATATGAGATAATATTAAAAAAAATTTTAGTGATGCGCAAGCTTTTTTTTCTAGTGATACGCAAGCTATCTTTTTTTTTTGTTGATGCGCAAGTTGTTGATGAAAATATTTCATTATGATTATTATTATTGGCAATAATAATTCAATTCAATAATGTTCAATAATGATGGTCGGTTTTCTTTTTTATTATCAAATTCAAAATCAAATTGAATTAATTGA